AGGAATCTTGCCGGGGTCTGCAGGGTTCCATGAGCAATGGGGGATTCTCTCATGGAAAGGGTAGGGCACATCACACACCGCCCCAGTGATAGCATGAGTTTCCTCTCCTATCCTAATAAAGACCCCAGAGTCTGGTCCATTGGGGAGAAACACAGGGGTCTGGTGTCCTTTAGGATGTGGTTCTGGAGGGTTATAGGAAGTGGCCATGCTAGGCAGGGCTCATTAAGAGGTTTGTGCATGTGGACTGTGACATAGCGATCTGTGACACTGGAGTCTTACAAGGTGAGTCTTCAGCTCAGATTCTGTCCTATGGGACATGCTATGTCGGCTATGGAAAGAACACAGACCTGTTTTCTAAGTAGGGTTTCCAGGTGTCTGGTTTTGAATTGGACAGTCCAGTATTTGAGCTTTCTGTTTGGGAAACAAATTGAGAAAATATAATGAGAAAATATAAACATCCGGTATTTTCTAAATAATATGTAATGTAGATTGTGATGTAATGTCAAGTGTGTCTGGTATTTTTGTTGAAACCATCTGGCAACCCTGTCTGTAAGCAATGGGCAATATTACCGCCAAATCTCCCCAGACCCAGCGAGCATCTCACCGCGGACCTAGGAAATGTTTGCCTCTGAACGGAGAGCTCGGACTCTTGGAGCCAGACGTTTAACCTTTCCCTATAGACCTTGGAAATTTGTAACCCCTAAGCATGCTCAGGTATCCCTGAGTGAACCCAAGATTGCTGCACCAAGAGGGTGCAAAGGCTTATTGCCAGAGAAGAATTGCTGCCCATCTGCATTTAAGGTTTTAAATGATGGAAGAGGCCGTGTGCAGACCAGGATCTGGATTTTGTTTTGGCTCGACTAGGACTTAAATTTGAATTCTGACCCAGCAGGGTTTGGGTTTGACGGCATCAAAGCATCACAAACTGTCCCAGTGAGATTTCAGCCCCCAAATCGCACAAATCTCATGAGATTAGTGGCTCTTGTGAGATTTCAACCACTTTGGGTGAACGTCTCCTGGGGACGGCTGTTCTTGGGAGAGTTCTGCTACCCCTGAATTCAGAAACAGGCCCCTGAATCCCCTGGTTGATAAAGGGGTGGCTTTTTACCTGTGACATGGAATCTGCCCTGCCTTGAAACTGAAGGGAAATTTGGATCTGAGGGCTGGTTTTGGCCTGTCTCTGTATACTTGAGTTAATCTTAGAATCATAGAACACTAGAACTGGGAGGAACCTTGAGAGGTCATCGAGTCCAGTCCCTTGCACTCATGACAGAACCAAGCAACATTTAGACGATCTCTTACAAGTGTTTGTCTAACCTGCTCTTAAAAATCTCTAATGATGAAGATTCCATAGTCTTCCTAGGCAATTTATTCCAGTGTTTAACCACACTGACAGGAAGTTTTCCTAATGTCCAAAGTAAACCTTCCTCACTGCAATTTGAGCCCATTGCTTCCTGTCCTATCCTCAGAGGTTAAGGAGAATATTTTTTTTTCCTTCTTCTTCCTTGTAATAACCTTTTATGTATTTTGAAAAGAGTTCTGAAATTAGGTTGACCAGATAGCAAGCGTGAAAAATCAGCACAGGGGGTGCACGGTAATTGGCACTTAGACAAGACAAGGTTCCAAATATTGGGACTATCCCTACAAAATCAGGCCATCTGGTCACCCTCTCTGAAATGTTTCAGGAAGTTTATGATTGTTTTAAAAAAATTATTAAATATTGAAGAAATCACCCCACTGGAAAAGTTTGATTCTTTTTATTATAATATAAGGCATGAACCAAAACCCCTTGGAGTCTTTCCACTGACTTCAGTGGGATTTGAATCAGTTGTCATGCCTGTCCCATCATTGTTAAATATTTGTAGGGTACATTCAGTCAGGGTATGTCTACACTACAGAGCTTTGTCAGAAAAAGGGCTGTTTTTCTGACAAAACTTGAGTTATGTCCACACTGCAATCACGAGACAGGGACAGGGACAGAGAGACAGCAGAATGGGAGAGGGATAGAGGGCCGGGTGCTGTCTCCCTGGAAACAGCAACGTAGGAGACATAATGAGGAGCACGTCTCCCCCGCAACGGCCCTGTAATTCCTTCTTTGTCTGTATGTATGTATGTATTTATTTATTTTATTTATTTATTGCAAAGCTGAAGGAGCGCTGGTGGGGGGAGGTGTGTGTGCTCAGCTGACCTCATTGTGAGTTTACGACACCGGCCATAGAAAAGCACATTTTGCGCAGCTGCTGCAGTGGCTGTGTATAATGCCCTTGTGGTAACTGGAAATTGGCGGGAAGTGGAGGGGGTGGAGCAGAGCCAGGAGCAGGACATACAACTGCCATTTAATTATCTCTATTGAGTCTCCAAAAATATGTTGTGGCTCTCGGGGGGGACCTTGGTGAAAAAGGAAGATGGAAGCTTAAGGCACTCACATATGACGGTGAGGGGGGCCAAAGCCGTCCATGAGAGAGACAAATAAACACTCACACACATACATGTGTACAGGAACACACATCCCGACCCTGCATATACCACGTGCCACCTACACACCATGCATCTACATGTCTCTCTTACACACACATACTCCACACAGGCACATACCCTACTCATATACACACACCCAGTGCACACGGATCCCCTATGTGCACAGTCGGCACATATTCCATTACAGACACACATGCAGAGTGAGTCTCTCACTCTCACACATACACACACACACATGCAGATTGAGTCTCTCTCACACACACGCAGAATGAATCTCTCATGCACATGCAGAGCGAGTCTCTTTCTCTCTCACACACACACACATGCAGAGCGAGTCTCTTTCTCTCTCATACATACACACAGTGAGTCTCTTTCTCTCATACACACCCACCCACCCACAGTGAGTCTCTCTCTCACTCGCACGCAGAGTGAGTCTCTTTCTCTCTCATACATACACACAAACCCACCCACACACAGTGAGTCTTTCTCTCTCTCTCTCTCACACTCACACACACACACACACGTAGAGTGAGCTTACACTATAAGAAATCTAACGCTATGGGAGCAGCAGGGCAAGATGGCTCTGGTTACACTCAGGCAAGTTTTATAGAGCATGCATTTTTAAGAAGTTCTTTGCATTCGTGCCTGGCGCACACGCTTAGTGAACCTGAAATCAATAAACAGCAGGGGCAGAATAACCCCAGCTCTGGCCTCAGGAAGTCATGTAGTGTAGACAAGGCTCAGCTTCAGAGCCCTTCGCTTGCAGCGTTTACAGACCCACAAGCCAGGCAGCACCTAGGGTCTCTATCCCCTATGCAGCAGAGGGAGCCTCTTGCCCAAACACAATCTTTTAAATCCTGATCCAAGCCTATTGAAATCAATTCCAAGACTGCCACTGATGGCAGTGGGCTCTGGATCAGGCCTGTATTTCAGTGCTTGGGCTGGGTATACCGTCTACAGCCCCCACATCTGAGATTCCCTGTTGAGCAGCAGAACAAGTGCAGCAAAGGGTGTGGAAAGCGTCTCTCTATGGTGCCAATGTGCCTGATTCAAAGAGGGCCTCCAGCGGCTTTGGCAAGGTAGTTTTGTCTCCATGGCCAGGGGCTGCTAGGGGATTCTGTCCCGGACCTGGACGGAGACAACCACTGTTCATTTCGCAACAGCCAGCAGAGGGTAAAAACTTGCCGACCTTGCTGGCTTTGAGTGGGTGAATTGGTCTATATCCTCTGAGCAAGTCATTTCAGCCTCCTCATTGTCCTCCATGGAGAGCAATGTTCCCTCTAATGTTTTCCATCCCTGTGCGGATTTTTTCCATCCACGTGTGGAATAAATTTTATGTGCACCACCAGGAGGAACACAAACCTAACTGGGCACTTAGTTGGGCAGCATTTGAATTTCTCCTGAGTGGCTGCACAAGCACACAGCTTACAGGGACCACTGATGGGGCGCCAGTCTCACTGACTCAAACAGGAGATAAAATGTTATATAGAAAAAGCCATGAGCAAATCCTAGCAACTGAACTCTTATGCCAGAGCCTGGAGTGGGGCATGCAACTGCCCATTTAATTATCTCTACTGAAAAGCTCACTGGTTGGGATTTCGTGGTGTGGGTTGGGCAGGTGGGCTCAGATGCTCATTGCTCAAAGGTATTTAGTCTCCTAATGGCCAGTGAAATCAATGGGAGTTAGCAACCTAAATACCTTTGAGGATCTGGGTTGAGGAGTGTTCATGATCTTAATGGTCCATTCTGGCTTTATAATCTGTGACTATCTCTTCGGGTGGTGTCACATGGCATCACACTTAGAACTGAGCCTCCTGCAAACTGGATGGTCCGGAGCCACTTGGAAATGGCTGTTGAGCAAAGGATGACATCTGGGATTGCTGGAGCTCTCCTCTTTGTGGGCTAGATCTGAGGCTGATTCTTGTCCATCCATCCATCCAGCCTACCTCTCTCTGTGTTTCATTTCAGTCGCTCCCAGATGTCGCACTGTCTGCCGCTGCCTTGCATGCCACTCACACAAGACCCTTGCGAACGCTGCCCCTCTTGAGACAGTCCCCCAAAAGAAAAGACCAAAGGAAAGCTAAACATTCCCTAACAAATGGGTGTCCATTTGGCCTACTTCAACCAGCAACACGCCTCCCCTCCCCCGATGCAGGGTGGACTCGGCCTGCCCTAGGAACAAAGGAGCAATTGCATACGCCATGCCTGGGTCACTGACCCATTCTATTGTCCGGGGCCAGGGCTGCATGCTCGGCCTTTTGACTGATTTCCCTGTCGTTGGCATTAAAAGGAGAGAAAGCCAGAGAATGAACTGCGACAACAGGGTCAGGGCTGTGGTGATTGTGGCACCAGTAAAATGTTTGGCAGTGACACTCGACTGAAACTTGGGTCCCGGAGCAACTGGGATTGTCTCTCCACCCACCCTTCTGTCCCATTATGAAAGGGAAACTGTCAGCTGTGACCCCGAAGGCTGGAGAAACAACCTCCCTTTAACCAGGACACATTCCTCTCCTTTGTACCAGCAGGAAGATGAACCTGTGAGGTGTTTACGGACTATTCGGCGAGGCATAAATAAGGCCACGGATGAGCTGAGGGACCAGACTGTAGACGTGTTGAGATGCTATGGCAAGGGTGAGGAACCTAAGGCCCGGGGGCTGGATACGGCCCCTAGCTTGCTTGGGTCTGGTCCCCAAGACTCAGGACTCTGCCCCCCAGCATCGCAGAGCTGGTGATAGCACTCCTGCCCTGTGCAACCCCACTTTGCACCCTACCTCTTGGGCAGACTTCTCACCCGAAATCTGCCCCTGCACCTGCCCACCCTCCCATACCCACCAAACCCCAACCCGCTCCTGCACCCTCTCTCCTGTCCAGATCCCACAACCCAAGCTTGCTTCCTGTCAACCGCCTCCTACACGTTGAACCCCTCAATTTTGTCCCCATGCCAGAGTGGGGGGGGGGCACAAAATCTACTAGCTCTGGCCCCCGTAGGCTCTGGTGTCAGAGGGGAATGTGGATAGTGTCTTTCTGCTTGTCAGTCAGCCACATCAACGAGGTATTGCTTTTTAAAACATTTTTTTGCTTCTTACCTGTGTAGCCCCTGACTGATTTTTCTGTAGGCCAAAAAAGGTCCCTCACCCCTGTGCTATGGAGGGGGTAGCTTTATAAGCACTTAGGCAGATAGATATAGGAATGGACAGAAAGAGAGAGAATTTCCTGTCCTGATTTTCTACCTTCGTTATCTGTTTTATGGGAACATCCAGACCCCTAACCAAGACCTGGATCCTTGCTCCAAAGAGGTTACAATTTCAATAGATAAGACAGACCAGCTGTGGGAGAAAAGGGGTACCTCCCATTTATGGCTGAAGAATTGAGACTCAGACATATTAAGTGACAAGGCTTAGGTCACTGAGGGTATGTCTACACTACAAAGTTAATTCGAACTAGCGTCCGTTAGTTCGAATTAACTTTCATAGGCGCTACACTAGCGCTCCGCTAGTTCGAACTTAATTCGAACTAGCGTCCGTTAGTTCGAATTAACTTTCATAGGCGCTACACTAGCGCTCCGCTAGTTCGAACTTAATTCGAACTAGCGTCCGTTAGTTCGAATTAACTTTCATAGGCGCTACACTAGCGCTCCGCTAGTTCGAACTTAATTCGAACTAGCGTCCGTTAGTTCGAATTAACTTTCATAGGCGCTACACTAGCGCTCCGCTAGTTCGAACTTAATTCGAACTAGCGTCCGTTAGTTCGAATTAACTTTCATAGGCGCTACACTAGCGCTCCGCTAGTTCGAACTTAATTCGAACTAGCGTCCGTTAGTTCGAATTAACTTTCATAGGCGCTACACTAGCGCTCCGCTAGTTCGAACTTAATTCGAACTAGCGTCCGTTAGTTCGAATTAACTTTCATAGGCGCTACACTAGCGCTCCGCTAGTTCGAACTTAATTCGAACTAGCGTCCGTTAGTTCGAATTAACTTTCATAGGCGCTACACTAGCGCTCCGCTAGTTCGAACTTAATTCGAACTAGCGTCCGTTAGTTCGAATTAACTTTCATAGGCGCTACACTAGCGCTCCGCTAGTTCGAACTTAATTCGAACTAGCGTCCGTTAGTTCGAATTAACTTTCATAGGCGCTACACTAGCGCTCCGCTAGTTCGAACTTAATTCGAACTAGCGTCCGTTAGTTCGAATTAACTTTCATAGGCGCTACACTAGCGCTCCGCTAGTTCGAACTTAATTCGAACTAGCGTCCGTTAGTTCGAATTAACTTTCATAGGCGCTACACTAGCGCTCCGCTAGTTCGAACTTAATTCGAACTAGCGTCCGTTAGTTCGAATTAACTTTCATAGGCGCTACACTAGCGCTCCGCTAGTTCGAACTTAATTCGAACTAGCGTCCGTTAGTTCGAATTAACTTTCATAGGCGCTACACTAGCGCTCCGCTAGTTCGAACTTAATTCGAACTAGCGTCCGTTAGTTCGAATTAACTTTCATAGGCGCTACACTAGCGCTCCGCTAGTTCGAACTTAATTCGAACTAGCGTCCGTTAGTTCGAATTAACTTTCATAGGCGCTACACTAGCGCTCCGCTAGTTCGAACTTAATTCGAACTAGCGTCCGTTAGTTCGAATTAACTTTCATAGGCGCTACACTAGCGCTCCGCTAGTTCGAACTTAATTCGAACTAGCGTCCGTTAGTTCGAATTAACTTTCATAGGCGCTACACTAGCGCTCCGCTAGTTCGAACTTAATTCGAACTAGCGTCCGTTAGTTCGAATTAACTTTCATAGGCGCTACACTAGCGCTCCGCTAGTTCGAACTTAATTCGAACTAGCGTCCGTTAGTTCGAATTAACTTTCATAGGCGCTACACTAGCGCTCCGCTAGTTCGAACTTAATTCGAACTAGCGTCCGTTAGTTCGAATTAACTTTCATAGGCGCTACACTAGCGCTCCGCTAGTTCGAACTTAATTCGAACTAGCGTCCGTTAGTTCGAATTAACTTTCATAGGCGCTACACTAGCGCTCCGCTAGTTCGAACTTAATTCGAACTAGCGTCCGTTAGTTCGAATTAACTTTCATAGGCGCTACACTAGCGCTCCGCTAGTTCGAACTTAATTCGAACTAGCGTCCGTTAGTTCGAATTAACGTTGTAGTGTAGACGTACCCAGAGTGAGTCTGTGACAGAAGCAGAAATCGAACCCAACTCTGCTGACTCCTCAACCCCTCCCATGACCACAGAAACATTTTTCTCTCCCGCCTGTTTTAATCAGAAAAATGTTACCACAAGAGCCCTGATTTTCTATCTGGGGCTCTATTTCTGCAGGCTCAGTTTCAGATCCTCTGTTCATTACACCTGCAATGCCAGGTAGGTGCAATTCTTATTGTTTAGCTTCTCAGCGACTGCAATGTGCTGGGAGTTTTAGCACATGGAAGCAACTGCAATTAAATGTAAACATACCTGTCCCATAGAACTGGAAGGGACCTTGAGAGATCATTGACGTGGGGAGATCCAGTCCCCTGCCCTCACAGCAGGGCCAAGTACCATTCCTGGTAAATTTGTCCCAGATCCTTAAATGATGCCCCTCAAGGGCTGAGCTCACAACCTGAAGGGTAACAGGTCAATGCTTAAACCACTGAGCTAGTCTTACCCTGACCCACTGACGTGGAGGCCCCCATTTGAAAACCAGACCCTAACTATTTGTACAAAAGGGTTCCTTTTGAAATCTTTTCGGATCTGCTAATTCAGTACAGTTAAGAGATGGGTGGGTGACATGGCATCTTTGACAAGCCCTTACTTTAGGCTGCTGCTGCTGAAATGTTAGTGTTGGGTCAGAGTTGATTGGAGCCGAGAGGGCTGCAGCCAGCCATCCGCTGAGAAATGCGTTGGGGTGAAAGCCTGTCTTTTAGCTCCTATGTGCTACAATGACATAAATAATGAGAAGAGACAGCCATGGCAAAAAAGGTTTGGCAGAGACTCGGAGGTGGGCCTTCAGAGGCATGGGACCAATAGGTGTGTGTGGAGGGGGAGACAAAGACAGTTTAAGTCACTTTCTTCGTCTGGACTTCTTCAGGTGTTGGTGTGAGCCTTGGCATTAAGTAAAGGAACCAGGCAGCTGCTCTATTTTATGGCAGCCGCTTCACCATGAGGACTGCCTAAGCCTGTGAGCGAATCTGGCTCACCACGCTGCTGGATCCGGTCCGTGGGCTGCCCCTCCAGGACCTTCAGGCATAGAGCAGCATGGGACTGCCCTGAAGCATCTGGCTGCTCTAACTGGCTGGCTGCTCCCTGTGGTGCTCTGCTCTGGGATTTGGGAGGATGGAGGCTTCATAGAAACTGGCCAATAGGAGCAGAGAGATTTTGATGGGTGTAGGGGCAACACGTGAACCCCTCCCTCTTCCCCTGCCAGAGAGCCACAGGGAGCAGCCAGCCATTATGAACAGCCTGGGGCTGTGGCAGGCAGGGAATCTGCCTCAGGGCCCTGCAGGGCTATTGGCCAGGAGCTGCCTAGGTAAGCGCCTCCCGGCCACAGCCTGCCTCTGGCATCCCAGCCCCTCCCTCCCCCCAACTCCCTGCCCCAGGTCACCATCCAAACCCTCTGCAACCTCGCTTTCCTCCTCCCCCCGCCCCAGATCCTGCACCCCTTCCCTCACCCCTCCCCAGGCCAGAATCCTCTCCTGAACCCATAACCCCTCCTGGATCCTGCACCCGAAGCCACTGCCCCAGGTCATAACCCCCTCTTGCACCCAAACTCCCTCTCAGACCCCACACCCTCCCCTGCACCCCAGTTCCCTACCCTGAGCTCCCTTCTGCACCCAACCTCTGTCCCAGACACCACACCCCCTCCATAGAAAAGCACAGCCCTTAACCTTTTGCCAAAATCTTGGAGAGCCATCGCCCATTAAAAAATTATTGCCCACCTCTGGCCTATGGGTATGTCTCTACAACACACTGTGCTTGGGTCTGCTTGACATGCACTGGGAGATCTGGTGTTTCCAACCTGCATCCGAGCATCCATGCTGCACTGGAAACCTGCTATATCCATGCTGCACTATGCAGACCCATGTCACAACCTCAGCTTATCTGGGCATATCCTCCGACGCCCCAGGGTTCCTAGTGCCCTCGCCAGCTGAAGCCATTTGGTTCATGGGGGGCTGTGGGAGAACTTGTCTGTCCTTCCTGCAGAAGTTGACTAGAAAGATTTTGAATGATGTTAGACTGCCAACCCATCCAGCCTGCAGAAATAGAATCCCTATAATGGTGTAGATAGGGACGCACAGCCTTGAAGCAGCCCCTCCCTGCAACATTTCTCCTACACTAGGGCTAGTGAGGGGGCTGGCTACACCACACAGTGCCTGTGTTGGGGGAATTCTTCCTCACGGGGCTAAATGGTGTTTATAAGCAGCACACAGGGATGGAAGACAAGGACAGATCCTCCCTTGGTTTTTCAATGCTAGGCAGAGCTTCTTCCCATGGATCCAAAAAACTCCTGCATTGCAAACCTCCTGGTGGAAAAGCTGAGCAGAACAGACTATGCTTTCTTTTTGATGTGCGTGTGAGGATGGGTAAAATCTCTGTGCCCAAAGCAGCACCATTTTCTTGCTCTTTCTGTTCTTGCTGTAGCTTCAAGTCCTG